TTAAGGTTCTAAATAACTAGTAGATTGCTCATTTAAGATCTTATAAGTTATAAGTAATATCTTAAAATTAACTCTTGCTTCGATTGGCAGCCAATGTAGATTCTTTAAAATAGGTGTGATATGGTCAGTGTTTCGTGTTCCGGTTATCATACGAGCAGCGATATTCTGGATCCTCTGCAGTTTGTCCCTTTGATACTTTGGTATCCCATATAGAATGCTATTACAATAGTCTAATCTAGAAATTACAAGGGAGTTGACTAGCATCTTCAACACATCATTTGTATAAGAGCAAAGCTGTGAAAAGTGTACACATGAATTGTGTAAACCTGAGTGACCAAGATGCAATTTATCCTTACAATATCAGAAATGTCAATACCAAGCAGACAAGTGATAGGAAAATAAAAGGAAAATGTCAAGTAGGGATTTAGCTGATCCAATATCAAATTCTCCAAACCAGCATGATAAGAATTGTATGGCAGACAGTAAGGAGAATTACCAATAGGAGGGTGAAAACATCACTGATGTCACAGTGCCCAACCTCAGGGTGCGACGAAAGTGCTGTCCAATAGCCTGGGGCTAGTGGAATGACTTGTCAGGCTTGCGTTTTCTTATCGCAGCTTGCCCGACGGGCAAACACCACCATTGGTTCCTCCGTTCTGATGATGATAAATTGAGCTTTTATACCAAAAATTGTATAGCGGAAAGCTCCTGAGGGAAAAGGACAACGTTATGAGGCCAAATTGTCGTGCATGACAGCGTCTTGTGCCGCATTTTAGTTGCGTCCGTAAATGACGTCATGACTTTTTCTGTTTATATAAGTGGCCGAAATATATTTTTTAAAATGACAATATTTGCCGACTGACAGCATGCAGTGCGAGACAATCAGTCCAATTAAATTTCAGCCAAGTCACGGTTCAGTGGATTTTCTTGGAATTTTAGGTGCGTTTCGTTGGGAAAATCCAAATCCGGATTGTTGTTTCTATTTTAAGGCTGCCAATTCATTATTAAAACAAAAAAGGCCCACTTTGTGTAATATTAAAAAACAAGAAAAAACTCGCTTGGTGAAAAGCTAGCAGACCTGGCCCCGTCATCGAGTTGCGTGTATGTTTTTATTTTTTATCGGATGCTAACAGTGCCAGATATGGAAGAGTTTGTCAGCTTGAGGAGCTTTGAAGAGAATTTACTCCATCGAATGTCGACAGACTTCAGATTACAGTGGTAGTTTAATTGACCAATTGCAACGTTCATGACATTCACAAAAATAACTGTGTTGTGATTTCCATAAATTTATAATATTTTTCACCGTCGACGGGGTAAAATGTAAATATCGAAGGAACAAACCCATTCGAGTGCAGAGGTCATTTTTCCTTTATTGTTTCGCCCATGTTTGAATGAAATTTTACTCTGAAGCATGCAGTCATTTGCAATCACAAGTTTAGAATTTGGAATTCTCGTCCACAAAATTTTGATGTAAGTTGTAACTGCAACTTCTGGTGGTCAGGTGTAAAAACTGGTTGTTTCTGTTGTTTAATTTGAGGTTAAAGTTAAAACAAAAATCACATTCAAGAATCAAAATATATATGAAGAATTACTTTATATCATTCTATGCTTGGGGCATCATTACTTGTATTTTGCATAATGGAATAAATCTAAATACTCTTTATAAACAATTTAAATTAGGGCTAGCTCCTCAGACCATCGGGCTAGTAATCTCAAGTAACAGCTTGCCCGAAGGGCAACCTTATCTTTTCATTTTCATCTCACCCTGAACCTGTGTATACTTGCATACTCTCCATCCATGTATGCATGCACTGGTTAATGCATTAATTTGACCTGTGATTGATTGAAACCTCAGAAAGAACACATAAGATTGTTTGATTAATGAGTCTTAAAATGATTTTAAGCTTGTGAAAATAAAGAGAGGATACAGTGAAGTAAAGGGAATTGAGAGTTTGGCAACAGGAGTTCCAAGGTATTCCCTGAAAGGTTATTTAAAGATTGCAGATGGCTTTTTAGGGGCTGTGGGTGTAGTGATTTATGGGAGTTCCATCTCTATTCAAACTGGAATATGTGCTTCATGTATAGGAAGGGTACATAAGACGTTTAATTAATTTGTAACCTTTGACAGAGTTGATTTGGTTCTTTGTAGGAATCAAGGAAGGTCTCACAGTTTAGAAGATGTTTCATCCCCAGCAGGATCAGGAGCAAGCCATGGAAACAACAAATCACCAAGGTTACAGCGCACCATGTCAGTTAATCAACGCTCTTCCCCACGGACGCGGCTTTCTGTCCAAGAGAATAGATTTAGTTTTAATCACAGAGGTATGTGGCTAAACACAAGCTCAATTAATTAAGCACTCATTTTGATGGGCTCTTATACAAGGCTCGACACTAACAGTAGCCAACTAGCCACAGACTAGTAGAAATTCAGTTTTGGCTAGTGGTTTTTGGTTTCCACCAGCCAGTTTGACTAGTAAACAAACTGAAATAAATTTGTTGTAACATCTAAGTTGTCACCATTAAGTTGAAAAGTTAGTGTTGAGCTCTGTAATGATCTATTAGAGAACAATTTACATAATATAGATGACCTGAGTGACACCATTTAAAACATTTTGCTTTTTAAATATATATAAAACAAATAGATTCCATATTG